AGATAACCATACGCTTCAGAGGCGCATGCTTTTCTAAGGCGTCAATTTTATACTAACAATGGATATTTATTTAAGTTAATCTAGTCATTTTAAAGGTTTGGCATTATTGTAAAAATAAAATGCATTTATATTATATTTTTTTATATTTTAAGTAATTTTAAACTTAAATCACTAGACCTCTATGAAAAATTAACAAAAATCAACAGTCTTCGCAGGCGCCTCTGCGACGTAGGTTATCTTTCTCGGGTTAAGGTAACAAGTGACATCCAGTCACTCGCTAAGACATTCGGGCACTTTTTACAGGACAATAATTTTCTCAAAATTAAATCAAATAACTTGAACTTTTTTACATGTAGACTGCGGATTTTTCTGGCGAAATAAAAATTGTCTCTATCAAACGCAGCGTATAGAATTGTCTGTTAACAGTTGTTTGTTAATTGTCTGTTAAAAAAAAAACATTGTTAATAGAATCATCTTGTCTGTTAACAATATTCCTGATTGTGAGATGAAAATAATGACACGGTGTTTTTATGATCTTTAAACACGTTTTCACATTCGACTTGTCCATTTTTGTCATAAATTCGTAAAATCTTCAGTTTACTTATATGCATGCTAAAAATTTTATTCAAATTGTTTAACGTTGTTGCGAACTATATGCAATCAAAGATAGTGGAACTCGCAGTTCTCCTTCAGACTTTTGACCAATAACTGTAAGAAATCTGGAAATCTTTGCATCATTCAATTATTTCAATTATTTACATTCGTATAAATTATTATTACACTTGTGGCACATGTAAATTTATAGTAATTTCATATTATTTTAAAAAGAACAAATCTTCTAGCAAACGATGGAGACTTTTTCGACAAAATTGCTTTTTAATTGAACATTCTGGAAGAACATAAATCTCCTTTAGGAATCCTCGATATAATTATTATTACAATAATTATTTGCTAAAGATACTTAAACTTTTCTGTGCCCGATTTTTCTAAATAAATGTAGAAGATTAATCGACGATACAACAACGTAGATCATTTCATCTTAACGTTACGATATTAGCAATGTTTACAATCGCGAGCATAATTAATAATAGAAAAATGCCGCAGTCCAGAAAATACAGTCGTTAGTGACCAGGGGAATCGATGCGACCGTAAATGTTTAGAGAAAAATAATTACCGGCAAGAAATTTGCCCCCGTCGTAATTAAATTAAAACAGACGGTCATCGTTTCGTTTGTTTCATCGGGGACTCCATTAAAATTGAATATAAATACTTTGATAATATGCTCCAATTAAAAAGTTTCCCCCGTGTTGCTTCAATTCTACGTGAACTCGAATTAATTAATTTGCTTTCATTTTCTCGATTACTATAAACGATAAACAAACAGTGTGTTTTTTATTTTTTTTTTATTCGTTGCATCGACTCTAGGACCGAAAAATAAAATTCCTGAATGCCTAACAATTAATCTTGTAACGATTGATAATCAAAGTCAGGTCGGCGCTAATTTGTTTATTAACTGTCTTTAAAAGGATCTCGTTATTATTTGCAACCGAGAAATGCTTAACATCTAGATTGTTATGTGCTGCCGAGAGTTACCGATAATATTAGGTTACTGATAACAACGTCTTCATTTATCGACTAACCGAATCACGTACCCCAGCGATGATCCAGTTAGCCGACCCTTCTTCGAATCTATTCACAGGCAATATTGATTGACTATAAATAGTACAAACACTATCAATCCAGTGCCACCATCCATTCGAGTCCCATTTACATTGATGAAGGAACAAAACGTTGAAATGCCAAGTTGCATTTTCAATTAACGAGAAACTATAGTTTCGCTCAGAAATCGCAACGAACACTTACCCCTTTCGTTTCTTTGAAATGATTTCGTAAGCAAACTCGATCGATCTATTTATTACAAATAAAATATGTAACTCTATTCGTGACGTTTTGTTGTCTGTTTAGATCTCGTCGATTGGATATTAGAAAATATTAATCAAGAAAGGACGCGGCACGGTGTCATGAAGAAGCTGAAGGAGATGTGCTTGATTGTGAACTCCAAGGTCAGTACAATTTTCATTACATTGATTTTGTACCTTTTGCTTTTGCACCGTTTCGATTTTTATTCGAACACGAGTTCTTTCGATTTGTTATTAAAATTTCACTAGAAAATATTCAATTAAGATCAGGGATACGATTGTTGAAAGAATTATTTAGACATTCATTAACATCTGACAATTTAATAAGATGAAAAATTCGACGATGTATATTTCAGAGAAACAGTAACTTTTTTTTAGATACGATGATTTTAGTTGTCATATTTTCTTCTATCGCTAACGAAAAGTACGTGAAAAAATAAATTTGCGAAGAATTTTAATAATAAACTCTATTGTTTGATGGGTTCGAGCGAATAATATCCGTGCGTGCACGAAAAATCGAATTAATTAAATTCCGGCATTCAATTCGTCAAAGCTTTGTAAGATCAAAACACGTGTGCCGATTGTGTACCTTTCAAATTCTATCATTTTGAGCAAACGAGAAAAATCTATAAATGTGTAAATACGTTTCAAAACTGGAATGAAATATCGACGGAAGTTGTATTATTAATACTTCGCGTTCAATGTTAATCGTGCTAAATCGAGCCCGTAGTTAATATTTAGATATTCGATAGGACCGTTAATATTTGATTCACTTTGCGTGCATGTTTCCAACCGTGGTGGCTCGTAGCATATTTATTTGTATTAGCCCGGAAGATGGCTGGAAATTGCGGAGTCAGGCACAAGAATGTGACCTACGAAAATATGGCGACTATATCTGCTCAACATTATTCCCTAGTTGATCTATGTGGCGTCTGAAGCTGACATACCCTGAGACTGTGTAATTCTCGAGTCTTCCAAGAGATATGACTGTATTTATTAAATTTTCCTGTTTTTCTGGAAGTATACTATATCAAAGCTGTTATAAATTATTTATAACCCAGAAACGATATTGCCATTTTCTTCTATTTTCATCTCAAATTCTAATTCGGACGTTGTTTAAACGTAAACTATACCGAAGATTCATCAGATTAATATTTTTAGCGGTTATGTCAAGGTTTTGTCTTGTTTCTCAAGATTTTTGGTCACTCCTTTAAGACAGAATAACTAAAAGATGGCATAAGAATGGAAAATACTAGTTTATATATATATACCAGCAGTTTAGAGATTACAAAATACCCTAACTTTGCGAGCATCTTTCTTGACTTTTTCACAACATATTCGAACAAAACCAGATGCAAATGATAACTAAATCTTTGTTCTACTTCGTCAAATTTTA